TGTCAGACTGTAGAATCTTCTCACTCGGTCTTCCTCTGCCTTTTTTCCTCACTCCAACGTTCCTGCCGTCACGATGTACTCCGGCTTTCTTCTTCTCACAGCATGACAAAAGAATGTAGATTGTCTCTTTCTGATGTAGACAAAGAGTTCTCTTCCTCAGTCTGTTTCTCTCAAGACATCTTCTTTATTCATTTCCCCATCTGGGGGCATTCTCGTCATTCGTCTATAAAAAGACATTCCCGTCGACGACAACCTGGTAAAAAGAAGAAGAGGAGAAAAAAAAAGAGAAGCTCTTTAATGCAGAAGTAAAGTGAAAGAATATCCTGGTACATAGATAACTTTCTTTCATACTTGGGGAAAATCAGATCTTTGCCGTTGTACCCTGGTTGTTTGGATAGTGTGTTATCGCCTCTGTTGGTGAGAAAATACTTGAAATCATTGGATCCGAGAAGTTGACGCGCTAAGTCCGATGAGTTAACACAAGAACTCCCTGCCCTAATAATCTGATAAAGGTCAAGGACCCATACTTTCTACCCCGTTCTAAAGCCACCTCGTGCATTGAGTCGTCCCTTCTTCTTCTTCTGCCTTTTTATCCCCCAATGGAGCATAGGCTCTCAACCAACTCACGCCAAGTCGATCTATCCTTCGCCATTACATGGAGCTCTCCACATGTCCTCCCAATCTTTCTAACCTCATTCTCCAGCTCTCTTCTCCATGTGTTTTTTTGGTCTTCCTTTATTCCTATGCCCCTGTGGGTTCCAATGCAGACATTCTAGTTATGCTGTTCTCCTGTTTTCTCAGTGTGTGCCCTATCCAACGCCAGCGTCTTTTCCTCACCTCCTGATCCACTGGAGCCTGTTTAGTCGTCCCTAATAGCTTTTAAAACTTCCTACGTTGTTCCCTATTCTCGCGATCCTAGTGGTTGGATTTTGTCCTATTTCTTTAAAAAACAAAGAAACACCACGATAAAACTACTGCCAAAACAAGGATAAATATAAAGATTCCATCGTGTGATGGTATGCTTTTCATTGAAGGTGCTACACATTAGTTAACTCTAATTTATATTTCCCAATCCTAGATTCTCAATCCTATTCTAAAGTTTTGAATCCTGTTATTTAAGCAACAATTCGGTACTATTTTCATGTATACATCCGTAAAAGTGTCTTAAGAAAAAAATCTTAAGGTCTTGAAAATCCCGAGGGAACGGCACCAGTTCGGTTCAACTACTCATGTGGCAGTGTCCCTGCCTGGATAGTCGCCAGGTTCCTTACGACTTCGACCATGAACTGTATATGACCGAAACACCTTTGCCTTCATACTGCTAAACACTACACGACTCATCCATTATCGACTTGAACAGTTACACCAACATTAAGCCGGAAGTGTAAGAAAAGTAGTCTGTTTAATGGTAAGAGCTTCTGGATTAACTACGCCACAACATAACACAAATGTACATACAGTTTCGTATCCCGTCTTCTAGTAAATCTAATTGTGAATAAGCTCAATTTAATCCTAAAATCCATATCCAGGCGCCCTTCACATTCAAAGCAGTATTAACTTGGAAGGATCATGCAAAAGTAACAGTTGTTGAGATGATCAGTGGGGTCCCTCCAAATTATTGGACTGCAAAAGACTTGGCTTGCCTTTAGCTAGTCAACCACATTGAATTGTACATAAATTGCAGTATACGCGTGGCGCTAAGCTCGATCTCCTTTTTTGCAGCCAACATACAGACTATGTCTTTTTAGTCACATTAGTTATATTCCGTTTTTGTGAGAAAAATTTCACCTCACCACAGACATTTATCAGCGCTGTTCACACACGCCCTAGTCATTTCTAGCTTTGACAGTATTAATTACGACAAATACATTAGCTAATAATGGCAAAACTTTGTCAGAGATAAGACATTTGTACACAAAGTTGATGTAATCATAGGTAGGACTGCGTCATAAACTTCTGATTACAGTTTTTTAGTCATTGGGAAAAATTATGCAACCGGTCACAACCGTTGCGTCATATACATAATTCGGTCCTAATTAAGTAAATAGTATGGTATATCTTAAAATAGAGCAAATCAACATTGTTTAATGCCATTTTCGTTTTCAGCACACCAAAATTAGTTGAGATGAGCTACTTTTATTTCTGGTACATTTTGGTTGTTGACAAGAGTGCTCACTTCGTGCATCAGTGAAAATCCTTTACTGTCCTGTTTAATAAATAGTAGACAAACACAGTCTGGAAACATGCAAACCCATAAAAGTATAAGTGCTACTTAGTCTTAAAAGATATAGGTCTAGCCCTATATGAACAAAACCTCTAAAGGTGTGGAAAGGTCCTTTACTTTTTACTTTTTTTATAAGCGCTACTTCTTATGGCGGGAGTCACCATGGCGTAGGGGCTAGACGCTCCCGTGCGGATCGGAAGGTCATGGGTTCGCTCCCTGGAGGAGCCGGACTTTTAAAAAAAAATTACCTTGACTCCCAGGTAGACCCAGTCTTGAGTGGGTATCGGATGCAGTCCCGGGGAGTAAAGGTGGCCGGCGTGATGCTGACCTAAACACTCATCTTGTGCCGATTGGTCTTTTAAAATATAGGTCCAGCCCTATATGCCCTATAAGCATAAAGGACATTTACTTACTACTTATGGTGGTGGTGAGTGCCTCTAGCAAGACCAGCTGACATTCAGAACAATGTGTTTAATACTCTGCGATTTTATTAGTCCTGCCCCATATACCGAGTTACTTCTATCAATATTGCCTACCAAGTACTGCTTGATGGCGAGAGAATGTGGCATTGCCATGTACATTGTGCTGCAACGTGAACGTGAGAAGAGATGTTTTCTCCCCTTTCTTTAGAATAATATCCGGTTATATTGAAGTAAAATAATTTCAGTTTTATGTAGTTCTTTCTTTCTTCCTTTCGTCAATATCTGCTTATGCGGCTAGGCGTCGCAGTTTATCATATGATCGACAGCCGAGCTAGGGCGTGCTAATTCGCTTGATATGCCGTGATGTCATGCATTCTCAAGCTGTCATTAACTCCTTCAATCCACGTCCTTCTTGGTCTTCCCCTGCCTCTTTGTGTTTTGATTTTCAGATTGTACGCTCTTGCTGCTGGCACCGTTGCTTTCATTCTCATAAGATGTCCAAACCATTTCATTCTTTGTTTCTCAATAAATTTGACGATGGGTGTTGTTCCAACAGTTCGTGTGTTCTCGTCGTTTCTCGCTCGATTTCTTCTGGTTTTATTCACAGCCATTCTCAAACATCTCATCTCACAGGTGCTAAGTCTTCTTTCGTGTTCTTTAGTTAACGCCCAAGTTTGACATTAGTAACCTAAAGTCGGTATACATTTTGTATTTATAATTTGTCTCTTGGGATATCTCTGTGTTTTAACATTGGAGCACGTTGACGGTGTTAAGATTTAAAAAAAAAATAGACAGAGAGATATAAACGAAAATCTAACAAGTCAACACCGTCAACGTGCTCCAATTTTAAAACACAGAGCTATCCCAAGAGACAAGAGACAAATTATAAATACAAAATGTATACCGACTTTTTTTAGCCCAATTTATTTCAATATAATTTAAGATAATCTAATATAACTAGATTAAAAAAAAATTATTTCAGTATAATTTAAGATAATCTAATATAACTAGAATTTTTAAAAAATAGACAGAGAGATATTAACGAGAATCTAACAAGTCGTTATATTAGATTATCTTAAATTATATTGAAATAAATTGGGCTAAAAAAAAAATTCATGACAGGACATACTGGTTTTTGAAGAAATAAACGTAATACCTTCTAAACCTTCTGAAATCCTGAACTGCCATAAAGTTAACTGACTGACTGACTTTCTACCCCACCAGGACATCACACAAGCGATAAACACCCGATGACACAAAGTGCCACCATGTATATATATATATATATATATATATATATGGGCAAGGGAAATATACTGTCATTCACATGTTAGTAAAAGAAAAAAAAATGAAGAAAATGTTAGAAAAAAAATTATATAATTTTTTGAAAATGCTTCATTAAAATAAAACTGCATTAAAAATATATTAAAATGATATTGTATACAGCTAAAATATTAAAAGCTGCAGCTTATTTAACTTATTTAACACTGACTACGGCGCTCTGTCCCTCCGCTGCAGTCGGCACCTAAAAGGCGGAGCTTGTCAAATGAAGCCTTTTACGTCGTCGTGGTTGTTACGGAAATCTGCAGGAACCAGTTTCTCATTTGCTAAAAGGGAGAACATCGAACTTCTGGAGTATCATCGTTACAAACACGAAGACACGTGACCTAGCGAATAGGTCTCCTGGACAAGAACGAGGTCCGGCGCCAAAGGATAGCAAGCTGAGGAGTGTACATCATTAGAGGATGAAGCAATGTGTAGCGTGTGAAAAATAAAATATATTTAACCAATGATTTTACTAGTAACTTGACTGACTGACTGACTTTCCACCCCACCAGGACATCACACAAGCGATAAACACCCGATGACACAAAGTGCCACCATGTGGATGAGGATCGCCGTGGAGAGGTCCCAGAAACCGCGTTCAGACATTTGGCCATATGTATGGCCTGCCTATATAGCGGCCCCTGGCAGAAGCCAGAGTAGGGCTTCAAATGACAAAAAATTTCGTCCTGAAAAGAACGAAATTGAGAATTTTACTAGTAACTTACAAAATGTAGCCATATAAACAGTTTTGCTGTGGTCACACTCACAGAACAGACAGACATAGTCACACACATAGATAACACACAAAAGGATCCACGGTAACGCATTGACTATCAGTCTTGCATAGAGGATTTATTTGTGAGCTCCTGTCGATCCAATGATCATTTACAATTGAGTATCAGTTGACCCTGACATTCACCCCCCCCCCCCCCCCCGTCCCTTCACCCTCACTTTCTGTTGTTGATATTGTGGAAATGGAATCCAAAGAGGTTAACTCAAGACTGAAACATCTCAATATCGTGCCTTACTTTTTCCTTAGTGTATGGTCTTGAGGTAGGATCTGACCAAAGTCGTCCAGGAAGCGTTCTTGTTTGAATGTCCACGGATCTTCATAAATTTCTTCATTGTGATGGTAGAACCAGGTATTAAGGAGAACCTGCAAGTAGGCCAGTATTATAAGGGCACAGAAGAATAATGGCCTATCGTAGTCGTAACAAATTTAAACATGTAATAAGTACATTCGACTTCCACTTCCATTTCAACTGCTCAACATTATAGCACACGGGTAGTAACCCTTAAGTGCTCCGTTCTTCTGCTAACTCAACTTTGTCTGTGAGTGAGTTTGTGCATCTTTCCCAGTCTCTGTACTATGTTTGAATGTGTGTGTGTGTGTGTGTGTGTGTGTGTGTGTGTGTGTGTGTGCATTCGCGTGAGCATAAATCAAGTTTGTTAATGACTCTTAAGTATGCAAGATATTTATTTCATAACGTCTGAAACAAACCATTTTTTAATCACTTCGCTTATAAGTCCAGATCCTTTCTTCCGCCATCAAAGAATCTATTTCATAAAGATTTTTAATTCTCTAATTTGTTATAGTCTAAGCCTTTATTTCCCTCCCTCAATATTTGTAGGGTTCAGTGTACTAGAGCCTTCAGGCTCTGACGAATTTGATGGGAGCATGAACAATCCATTCTAGTCACCCTTCATGGCAAAGACAACATACATTATTAAACAGGTTATATACAAATTATATAATAGATATTCAGCATTACCCCAATCAAATTCAACGTTTGCTGTTAAGCCTCATGAGGAAAAACAATTGATGGCCTAGAGCTTCACAAAAAGCACTGCAATTTTTATTCTGTTTGAACAGGCTTTTTTTTTTATTATCATGCACCATCTTCTCTTTGCGCTCTCTCTTGTTTTTATACAAGTCTTATAAAGTGTATCGTTTGAGTAAGTAATTATTTTGCGTGCATTCTAATAAGACGAACAAGGCGTTTGATCATCTGTTTCTCTTAAACTGAGTGCAAGATTTTATTTTTAATGTCTATCTGATAATGTCCTTTCTCACTCTCGGGTGGCTAAGTTGGCGGCTTAACTTGGGCATCTCATCTCACACGTGTTTAAGTTTACGTAAATTAACTTTTGACAAAATCCAAGGTTGGCATTGGTAGCACGGTGTTGATATGAATATGCGATTTATAATTTGTTGCCTGGACGTTGTACTTGTTCGAATAACAGCATCAGTAGGTATTTAAATGTTCAGGAACTTTTACACTTTATTTTTATTTTTTTTCATATTCATTCTGCAGTTCTCAGAGAATATATTTTCTACACATTCAATTTTTTAAAATTTACTACAGACAAATACTACTGAATCCTACCTGCAGGTAACTATCTATGTCTACTTCTTCGCGTTCATCAGCTGTAACTCTTCAGGAAATTTCTTGTTGTTTATTCACTTCTGGACTGCAGTCGTGTTTCAAAACCTGAGTGTTGCGTGTGCATCCGTCTGATCTAACTCATTTGTATGCAGACTGCTGGATCCTTGCTTGGCAGGTAGATGCAATCACACTTCGAAGTAAGCTCCTAATTAGTCGACTCTTACGACATGCGTTTGGGTAGTCAGTGGGTCTCTTCTTCTTTTCCCCACTATAGGGCCCCGGACCCACACGGGGAGTAGGTGACTATGAATTCTACTAACCAACATTATTTAAGTTATCTTTATATATATATATATATATATATATATATATATATATATATATATATATATATATATATATACATACATATAAACTTCATTTAATCATACCAGTGTGTCTTTGGGGATGGTTACTCTGTCAATATTAACATCCTCAGAAGTCAGTCTCACGGCTCCCATAGGAACTTGACTAATGAGGCGTAAGCTTTCTAGAATGGTTGCCTCCGTGTAAGGCCTGTTATTTTTGTCCTCAAGAGTCGGTCTTCTATCACCTAACACATGATCAATCTCGTCGTGAAGTTTCTTGGTCACAGATGGGTAATTGGCGAGGCAGAGAAATAAGCCTTGCGTAGATGCTCGTGTTGTGAGGTGGGCTGAAATGTACACACAGGACTTATTGAACAACATTTGTAACGAGTTGCATAACTTTAACAGGACTTCGCAAAATATCAGAATGTATCATCATAATGAGCGCAAACGTTCTGAAGCAAGTGAATATGTTCAAGTACTTAATAGCCCTTATAACAACAGTTGAAAGATGTACTCAGGAAGCCAATATAAAATAGCAAGTAAATAGACCATTTCACATGATACATAATAAAAATAGACATATTTCTTGGTCGGCTGAGTTGAAAGAGAGAGAAATTTTCCAGAATCAATCCTGATGTAAACATATGAATCATATCCTTCTTCTACTTCTCTAGTTCCGTTCTGTCTTTGACGTTTTTGCTTAAAGCGATATCGGATGCTAACCTTGGTATATGCTACGTAGGTGCTGGTATCCACGACTTTAGGAATACTGTCTATCCATTACTTGCTTGATTGACCTCTAGGTGCTTCCGCTGCGTCTAAGCTACAGGGCTCTTTGTGATAGACTATCTTGTGGCAGTCTTGACATATGTACAAATCATTGGATCTGGTGTCTCTTGGTGCAGTTTAATACTGGTTTTGACGTAATTTAATACTGGTTCCGTCCCAACTTGTTTCCTGATATCGTCATTTCTTATCTACATTTGGGATTCGCCGTAGACATTTCACTTCTTTCGATTGAATTTTTTAATACACGTGTATATAAATTTTTGTTGTCATTCTGGCTTTTGATCATACTACACCTTTGATGTTGAAAAATAAACATTTACGTATGTTTACTATATGCTGACTAACCACCTAGGCCTTTAGTGCTTGCCAAATTTTAAATCACTGGAAATCAGCAAAAATGAAACAATGGTGTGGAAGCTGCATATTTAGGGTTGTAAAGACAATGAAAAGACAGAAAGAAAATGTTATTAAGATGTGAAAGAAATTAAGTGACATAAAAACTTGTTTCCCAGATTATAGGAAGACAGTCTGAGAGCATCATGTCTCACTTTGTCTTGGGTTGTTAAGTTCGTGGCTTTCTTGAGGAATCTTATTTTACAGGTGTTAATTTTACGTAGGTTAGTTTTTGATAAGGTCTAAGTCTGGCACTGGTAGCACTGTATTGGTATGAATATGCTGTTTACTGTGGTTTTCTTCGCGGTTATACTCATGTGTGGAAGTTTTAATAACGGCATCAGTTGATATATCAGTCAACTAGCTCGTTCGCATTTTATTCTTCTTTAAATTTCGATCGATTTTGCTGTCCTGTTAGAATATACATCCTTGATATTTATATTAACTTGCTTCAGACAAGTATCATTCAATCCTGTATGTAGCACTATATATTATATTTTATGTTAACAATAAAAAGCAACATACAGAATTTAATCACACAGTTACCTGCCCAAAATAAAGAGGACAGGAACCCGATGGCATGTTCAGGATCATTCTTCATCCACTCACTGCCTTGTTTGTCTTCTAGATCAAATAAAAGATCAGCAATACCTCTAGGCTGGCTTGGTACCCATGTTTTCTGTAGACAGTTGCACATGTCAAAAAATATATATATTATTGAACTAATGGTCTAATTAAGCGAAGCTTAGTCAGGACAAGATCGTTGGCTTGATTCCAGATTTAAAAAAAAAAAAAAAAAAAGAAAACCTTCTAAAATGCAGACGAAAGCCGTACAATGTTTTATATTATTATATGGGTAATACTTTTCCTCAGTTTCTGGCACGAAATTTTTATTACATTTTTTTTTTATCTGCTCTTTATCTTCTCTCTATGCTTCTTCGTGAATCATCAGGTCAGCAAGCAATACCTCTATCAGGCCCTGACAACTTACCTGCTTATTCTTCTTCTTCTTCTTTCGTTCGCCTGAAATAAGTTGTCTATATCAGACAAAAGACGAAGGGATGAGCCTACTCTCCTCGAGTATGACCACAGTCTACCTTGCAAAACAAGGTGCTGAAGTCGGAGGCAACCAGCCAGGAGGCGCACCACAGCAACCAGGATGCCACGCACACACGCTACTTACCTGCTGACATACTCTAAGCAACAGAAGAGGTAGAGGTAAAATGGATGTACAGACTGTTCAGCCTAGTCTAAACTACACAAGAGACACCTGAGGACTGGAAAAACGCAACAATATTACCCATCTGGAAGAAGAAAGACAACGAGAGAGGCTGAGATAAATTTAGAGGAGTTTCGTGACTGAGCCACACCAGTACAATATTTTGTAAGATCCTTGAAAAAACCGGATATGCCTTATCATCGAACCACAGCATAGTAAAGGGCAAATAGAATTTCGGATGACCAGGCAATCATAGCACTAACAACATATCTAACAGCAGTACAACTACAAGAACGTATTAATAGACTCCACTCAGAATGAATAGATTCCACTCAGAATGTGATAACTATAATATGAAGATCAACGTAGACAAAATAGAAGTAATGACATTCTCCAGAAAAAAAAAAAAAAAAGAACCACCAATATAAAAAAATTGATAAATACCTTTTGAAAGAAGCGAAGGATTTTACATATCTGGGGAGCATTGTTTCATAAGAAGGAAGAATTAATAAAGAAATCCGGCAACGATGCAATAAAGCCAATCAAGTTTTAGGCCAAATGACACCAGTTTTAAAATGCAAGTATGTGAATATGAACACTAAAAGAGCACTTTCTACACAATAATCTTTTCAACTCTATGCAATCAATGTCAAAACATGGACAATGTCTTTAGAAGGAAAAAAAAAAGGAAAAAGACAACAGAAATGAAATGTTTACGTAATAAGCTAGGCGTAACAACGAAAAGTCGACTTAGGAACGGTTATATCAGGAGGAGAGTCCGCTCAGAATCAATACTAAACTGTATAGGCAGACAACAAATCAAATGGTTTGGCCATGTAACAAGGTTGGCATCAGACAGGGCACCACAGAGAGCAATGGTATACATATACAATGGTAACAGAGCTAGAGTTCGACCACGCTGAACATGGACAGCAGAATCATCAGAGACACTGAAATGTACTTTATACCAAGCGAACAGAAGAACCCGTTTCATAGATCTCTTCCTGCCCTGACGTCGTGAGGCATTCCATGAGTCGTTATATATCACAGAGAGCTCGCAGTCTATACTTTCATTTGTTGTGTCATGTGCAATGTTTCAATAACATGAATAGAATCCAACCCATCACAATTATTTGCCTTTATCACCAACGTTTGTTTCATTGGTGCTTTTTTAAATGGAAGTCCTCGCTCCGTTAATCCATTTGTTTCCCATTTAACACCCTTTTTGGTGATTCTCTGATTGCGTCTCTCCTCGATGTGCTTAATAATGCTTTAGGGATGGTAAGCAATATAACATTTTGACAAAGAATGCCATGCAAACACTACGATTTGTCCCTTTCCACTTAACACAGTCTCAAATTTCACCAGGCTAACAACGTACCGGCCAAGTGCATATTGTTAAAGATCAGCTAAAACAAATTACCTTTGGCCCATAATACATCAGCTCCACAGCTGCAGCATTGGCAACTTTCAACCTGTTCACAGCATTTTTAAATCGACCAGGGATGTAAGCCAAGAAAGGAAGTTTGGTCAGAACTAAGTCATAGTTAAGCGACCAGAGTTTGTTAAAGGCAATATCATATTCTTCCATAACCTGTAGTTTAGACATGTCATCGGGAGGTTCACCAAAAAGTTGAAAAGAGAAAATAAATAAAAATGTATTTACAACTGATGAAAAGTTAATAAAATACGAGAAGACGGCAGGTTGTGATAATAAGTAAATGTAAAAAAAAAAAAATAAAGGTCCCTTATCCACTCCTTAAGGCGTATAGGGCATATAGGGCTGGACCTATATTTTTATAGACTAATCGGTACAAGACGGGTGATGTGGTCAGTATCACTCCGGCCGCCTTTACTTCCCTGGACTGGTTGGGATGATATTCCTGCAAACATGCTGAAGACAGCAGATGATGTGAACATAAAATAAATGAAATATCTAGTCAATAGAATAATTGCATAAGGAACAAAACCGAAATCAATCGCCCAACTAGATTATGCTTTCTTGTTGTTTTTGTTTTGTTAACAAAGGGTGAAGGAGAAATGTATCAACATCTTCAAGTCTCAGTCTAGGTTATATTATATAGATTGCTAACAGATACACAAAGACATGACGTGCCATCGCCCGGTTAAAGGCGAAACCCAAGACCGTAGATCCAAGCGGCGAGAGTTATGTCACAAGGCTTAGACAGCTGCAAAGTCCACGATCATCTAGCTTGATTGCTAAATCTAGAATAATTGCTGGGACAAGAGAGAATCGGACCTAGGTTCAAATCCTCGGTAAAGTTAGGTTGTTCTTTTTCTTCTAGGGGCAAAATTAAACTCCTAACATGCACAGTCCTTGGCGACTGCACTAGCCATGCAGACCTGAATACTTAGGCTAAAGAGCCTTATGTCTACACCGCAAAAGTAGTAAATAAAAGCAGATAGATTTCTACTTCTAATTTCAAAGAAGTATTAGATGGATAAACACATTGACTCTTTAGAATGTTCAGAGAAGTAAATTGTTAGACTTACATTAGTAAGCTTCGCTTAGGGCACCATTTGTAGATGTGGTGATGTTTAGACGGTATTAAATCTGTATGTTGTAATCAAGGCCAGTGATACTGTCTCTCACACACACAGACACACACATACACACGCCCGCGCGCACACACACACAGACATATATATATACAAACACATACAACACACAAACATCATTACACATTTTCTGGTGATTCAAGTGTACAAGCCACGTTTAATTACGTAATAATAATAATGTCATCATAATAATTTGTCGCTCCTGTCACGGCACGCCTGAAAGTCTCTCATTCTCTAGTCAGTCCTCCAGCCCTATGTGCTTTCGTAGCCAATACATCTTTAATGTCTTGTATCCACGTTTCCAGGAGGTCTTTCTCTGCTTTGTTTTCCGAAGACCGTACCCTTCATCACCGTTCAATCCAGGCCGAAATTCCTGTTTTGGGACAGGAGTAATGATAAGTTTACTGTTATTAAAATGCTTACCAAGATGTAGATGACGACTTTGAGAGACGTAGCCAGACATTTCGACATTTCAAAATCTTGATTTTCGTGTTGTTCTAGTTCCGCAAGTAACCTGTTCATTTCGCAGCAACCACTTGATCAAATTTCTTGTTGCCGTCTCCGTAAGCACCAATAACATTGTAAAACATTCGTCGTTTCTTTTTGCTGAAATCTGGCAATTGAAAACAGGACTTTAAATATTAACGAAGTGGCGCAAGAGGTTGTACTGGCAATAAACACACGAGTTTAAAAAAAAATATATATATATATTCAAGGACTTGTTTCCACCAGTAGTACTTTCAGACGAAAAATATCAACATAACATGGAATGAACTGATAAAGAGTGCAAAAATAAGAGACATGCATAGGCAACAACTAGTTTCAACAATAGAACATGCCACTATACTGATCAAGAGGAACCCGAAGGTGAATGTAGATGGCAGATGCCAAAGGTGCCGCACTGTATCCTATTTATGACATCGAAGTGATTGCAAGGACATAACTTCATAGACAAATAAGACTGCGAACTCTATGTGACATATAAAAACACAAAAGTACAATGAATGAATGCGCGCCAAGAGTTTTTTAGACCAATCTGCACACGGTTGGGGATGTGATCATTATCATGCCGGTGGCTTTTACTTCCGAGGTCATTACTTGATGCCCCTTTGAGTTTGAGAAGACATAGAAGTTAAGGCCAATCTCGAAACAAATTCACTTGATGTGGATTCAAATGCAAGACCTTCGACCCGTCAGATGAGTGTTTAGCAGCTACGCCACCGCAGATGTCAATAAAGAGGCAGTGACTTTGTATTGTAAAGGGCTTTAACAATATATTATTTAGTGAAATTTAGTGTTTGGGAAGTAATTATTCTTCAGAGTATCATGTGGCCTGATTCATTGTAGTAACTAAACACCTAGCTCCAATGACCTATCCCCCTCTTTTTTACACATTCTTTTGTTCCAATATCTCTTTTCCATCCCCACCTCCCCCCCCCCCACACACACACACACTCCCCCCCCCCTCTCTCTCTCTCTCTCTCTCGTCTTATCTATAAACTCTATCTAATGCTTTCTCATTGCCTTTCTCTGCAATCCTTCCTCTCTTTCTCTCTATCACAATCTCTCTCTCCAACCTCTATCACTCCCTACAAAGTTCATGCACTGTGATTTGTGAGTATCATCATTACATCTCTCCGGACAGATCCATACCTGATCCGATCTCATCCTCAAAAGCCGCACAAATCTGAAATGACAATGATACCCTTCAAGCGCTGATTAATCAGTTGTCATGCCCCCCTTATGGCAAACTACTGGACGTAAATTTGCCTAGAAAAACCACACAACAGCCAGGGGCTGTTGGGGTTGGTTCTGCAACGTCCTGTAAAGGATACGCAACTAACTAACCATGCCCCCTTAGTGAAATGCTCGTTACTTGCCGCTCCAGGTTACACTGCCCCCTTCCCTCCCCCATATCTGTCCCTAATGCATTGTGTTGACACTGCCCTAGTGTCATTAACGCAAATGTACGCAATCATTTATAAGGAATGATACACGTGTCCCACGAATGTGCTATTTTGCACACATATGTAATCAGTGGTCATGGTAAACTCTTTGATGCACCATAAACTTTACTGTTGATCAAAGAAGAAAACCACATCATCCCATAACCCAGTCTATAGTGAAAGTATGCAGGAATTATCTCAGTTAAAATATGTCAATAAGTCATCGGCGTAGCAAGGTCACGTGGTACCCCGGGCAGAAAAGTTCATGTCACCACCCCCACACATACACACGCACACACACACACACACACGCAGAAACACACCTATTCATGTATTATAACAACACACGTTTTTGACATTGTGGCACCCCCTCCCCGCCTCCCTTTCCCCGGCGTTAACACCCCATTCTGACACCACTACACGAAGTATTTTACAAAGCAACAATATATCTCTATGCGTATTAGGCATATCTGGCTTGACCTATATTTTACAGAGCAGTTGGCACTCGGTGCATGATGTGGTTGAAATCACGCAGGGCGCCTTTACTTCCCATGACCTGTCGTCCTTAGTACCCATTTAAGGCTGTGTCGACTTGGGAGCCAAGATAATTTTTTTAAAGAAATAAAATACGCCTCCTTTGTAATTATTTTAAAAGAATAATCGAGCGTTTTCTGACACCCATTTCAAACTCGCTTGACTTAGATGCTTACTTATTAAAATAGCACATGCCTTGTGTCGTTGATAATCATGTCTATCTAAACCTTTTGTCTCGTGTACTTTCAATCAGTTCTGGCATAGATTATCTGTCATGCCTTGTTGTCAGACTTTCTGGAATCTTCTCTCTCTGTATCCCTCTGTCTTTTCCCTCTACTCCAAATTTCATACCGCCACAAGATACTCCGGTATTCTCTTTCTCATAGCATGACCAAAGAATGTAGATTGTCCCCTTCTGATGTGGGAAAACAGCTCTCTTCGTGAGTCAGTTTCTTTCAAGATATCTTCATGATTCATTTCATCCATCTGAGGCATTCTCGTCATTAGTGTATAAAACGACATCTCCGTGGACGACAACCTACAGCAAAATAACAGCATGAAAGAAGAATAGCTCTTCTATCAAGAAGTTAGGTAAGAAAATGTCCTGTTACATAGATAACTTACCATCATACTTGGTGAAAATTAAATCTTTGCCGTAGTATCCTGATAGTTTGGACGGTGTGTTCTCACCTCTATTGGCGAGAAAATACTTGAAATCATCCGACCCCAGAAGTCGACGCGCCATGTCTGCTGAGTTCACACAAAGAACTCGCTGCCCCAAATAACTGATGAAGGTCAGGGGCCCATACTTTTTAGCCCATTCTAAAGCCACCTCGTGCATTGAGTCGTCCCTAATAGCTTTTATTATTGTCCAAGTTGTTCCCCATTCTTGCGGTCCTGGTGGTAGGACTTTGTTTGATTTCTTGAACAACCAAAAGAAGAACAATACAACCAGTGCCGAAACAATGATGTATGTGGAGACTCCGGTGTGTGGTAATATGCTGTCCATTTCCAGTTGTTATATATAAGTCAGCGGTTTTATTGCTATTGATTTCTGAAAATATAAATCAAGTATTAAGTAAAAGAGTAGTTCTTTACAGGGAAGTCGCCGTGGAGTTGGCGGCTAGATGCCCGCCTGCGGGTAGGAACGTTGTGGGTTCGCCTCCTGGCGGAGCCGGATTTTTAAAAAAAATGACCTTGACTCGCAGGTCGACTCAGCCTCAAACGAGTACCAGGCGCAGTCATGGGAAGTAAAGGCGGCCGGTACGATGCTGACCACATCACCCACCAAGTGCTGATGGGTCTATAAAATTATAGGTCTAGCCCTATATTCCCAAAAACGCCTAAATGCGTGGAAACGGGACCTTTACTACAGTTCTTTTACAGGGTTAATTATTTCTAATCATATCATGGTACAAGTCATACAAAAGCGTTTTGTCAATCGTTACCTACTCTTTAGACAGCAGGGTAGTACGCCAAGGTAGTACTTGATGCAGCCGTTAAGGTCGCCGCAACGATATGTAGATTAATGCAAGCGGAGCATGAATGATAGAGTATTGATACAGCATTGACGTGGATTCGTGAGAACAAAATGACATGGGCCGTATGACATGGGTGGGGAAACGAGGGAGAATGAATATATAAATACAATTTTGTAGAAAAGTTAACAGCTGGGATTCTGGGGAAAAGAAAATTGCATAACAATGATAACAATTGCCCTGAAATCTCATGCTCTAATTTGTAGATAACTTTTCTTAACCCGAGCAGACCTAGATAGTCACAGTCACAATCATCACAGGCTGTGATCTCTACGCCTCTTTATTGCACAACATAACGCTGAAAAGACGGAAACGTGCCACCAGCAGTTATAACTTCTTAGGATGTTGAGTTTCATGTCTAGGAATTTTTTTAATTTGGATTGGCAACCAGGATGATAGTCTTGGAATGGCAGGGGTGTCCAACATTTAAATAGCAGCCTAGAAGGGTCACAGTGGCTTATATAAAAGACATGAGCACAAAAACTAGTGCTATGTTTTAAGTGGGAACATGATAAATGTTTTACCTACGCGAATCGTACAGTGTTATCTGTTGAATAATAATTGAAAATGGATATGCATTGTAGTAAATTGCTTCGTCATTGTCATGCAAGTAAACGTGTGTACAGCTCGTTTGCTAAAATTTACTGAAAATTAATTTAGCCTTAAAACAAAAATGCTGTCAGTAATATCTGTATGAGTATGCCTGTTCACTTGCAATTTTCTTAAATTCTCAGGAATATTTTATTGTTTTCAAATTGAACAAATAGGACACACACAAATAAGCAGTTACTTTAGAATGTAGCTGATTTTGTATTTTAGCTAGAATAGTTCATTGATTTATTTTATTGCAATAATCCGTTACTCATTGTGCACAAGGCCATAAATAGCGAGAAGAACCAGATAATAAATCGTGCGATCTGTTGTTCGTGTCTTCTTTGTTCAGATCTCATGTCAGCAACAAAAGTAATGTATGTATGTATGTATGTATGTGTGTGTATGTATGTATGTATGTATGTATGTATGTATGTATGTATGTATGTATGTGTGTGTGTGTGTGTGTGTGTGTGTGTGTGTATGTATGTATGTATGTATGTATGTATGTATGTATGTATGTATGTATGTATGTATGTGTGTGTGTATGTATGTATGTATGTATGTATGTGTGTGTGTGTATGTATGTATGTATGCATGCATGCATGTATGTATGTATGTATGTATGTATGTATGTATGTATGTATGTATGTATGTATGTATGTATGTATGTATGTATGTATGTATGTATGTATGTATGTATGTATGTATGTATGTATGTATGTATGTATGTATGTATGTATGTATGTATGTATGTATGTATGTATGTATGTATGTATGTATGTATGTATGTATGTATGTATGTATGTATGTATGTATGTATGTATGTATGTATGTATGTATGTATGTATGTATGTATGTATGTATGTATGTATGTATGTATGTATGTATGTATGTATGTATGT